AAAATGGAACCAATCGGTTTAAAAAAATTATGTGAACTGAGCATTTAATTTTTCTGGTTATTTTGGTTAATCAAACTTTTTCAACGGAGGTTAAGACAATAAATAAAAATAAGTAGTAGGTTCTAAAGCAAATTTAAGTGACACTTCCTCTATTTTAGATAATAACAATTGAAAGGGGACAATAGCAATATCTAATCTTACTATCACTATTTAGATGCATCACGTTAATTCTCACCAGACATGCTAGAAAATAAAGATAAATCTTAGAAAATCTCATAATAATCAGAAAATCTGGCCTTTAATTTGGTGTACTCTAATCATCATCGCTGATAATAGCCATTGGATCTTTTATAATTTATACTATTACTAATCAGAGGCCTCAGCAGAGGCACCACGTTAATTCTCACCATACACGCTAAGAAAAAGATAATAGCCATTGGATCTTTTATAAATTTTTTTAGATGTACGATATTATATCGTGCAAACGGGAATGCCCTGTTCGTATTCTGATTTGTTGTAAGAGGAAAATACTGTTTGTGCGCTGAAAAGTACTGCTGAAGTAGTGTCGAAGAATAGGACGAATATTAGTAGGTGTAACAATTGGAGAGGAAGAAAAACCACGCCCCAAGTATGTTTCGGGGCGTGAACACAGTTGATTGGTCAGGTCATGTCGATTATGTAGTTAACTGTAGTGAGTAGTTTAGCAGCTGCGAAGTCTGTAAACTATGCTATCACCCACTTGCAGTATATAGATTAAAGTGGTGAGTAGAATCCAACTGCTACACAGGTCAAATCACCGTTCCGAGGGCCTGTTTGGAACGTGGGAAATATTTCCTGTTCCTACGTTTTTCGTGTGAAATTGAACTGATTTATGTGAAATTTCTGCATGATTCCAGCGATATTCCTGAATTCCAAGCTAAGGCCTGAGAGGGAAACTCGAAAAATGCGACAGCCGGTGGCTGACAAAAGAGGCCAAAATTCTTGAAAATTGCTTCAACCTGAGAGAAGACTCGGAGGAGTGAAACAGCCCGAGGGAAACTCGAAGATGCAAACACCCCCCGGGGAGCTCCAAGAGTTGGTCGCCGCGATCAACGAACTCGAAAATGATTACATGTTTTTGTATACATTTGTAATAATTGATATGACGTTTCAGAAGTTGAATTTATTTATTTGTTTTGGGGAAACAAACCATCGGCAGCTAGACTTGGTTCGGCACGCAGCAAATGGAAGTAAATTTGTTGTGAGTTGTGGTTGTGACGTATAGTACATCTGAAGAGTGTCTTAATTTACCTTTTTACGGCGGGTATAGCTTTCCTGTCGTCAGTCGTCACAACAGGGACTCTTCATTTCTGTATAGTGTAACTGGGTAACAAAAGCAGGAGCTGAGTATGACGAAATGTATAAAACAGAGCAAACGTTACAGCAAGGGATTCGCCTATATTTTCCTTTTTCAGAAGGGTTCAGTTTAGAAAATTATTTACCATGCATGAAAGCAGTAATGAGAGCAAATATATTCAATTTGTTTATTAGCGATTGCCCCTAAGTTTATCCCTTAATTTCTAGCACTTACCTCTCTCAATTTACTCCACCATGCAGGAGCACGTGTTGGTGGACTTGTGTTGATCTAATAGAATTAAACTTTCAGTAGATATATGAAATAACTTAGGGGTGTTTGGATCCAGTGACTAAAATTTAGGAGCTATGTCGGGAGGATGTTGCATGGGGTATTCGGATACTAATAAAAAACAAATTACATAATCCGTCAATACTTCACGAGACGAATTTTTTAAGCCTAATTAATCCGTCGTTAGCACATGTTACTGTAGCAAAACATTGTCAAATCATAGATTAATTAAACTTAAAAGATTCGTCTCGTAAATTAGTCGCAAACTATGCAATTAGTTTTATAATTAGTCTATATTTAATACTCCATGCATGTGTCCAAATATTTGATAGGACAGCGACTAAAATTTAGAAGGAGCAACCAAACACCCCTTAGTATTGCACATAGTACATAGGACGTGTTGTGGGGGACAACAATGTGCACCAAAAAAAAAGGAAAGAAACTGATCCTAGATCTACCCATATTTCATCATGTGATCGTCAGAGTTTAGAGAATCCATCTGAAGAGTATGGATCCGTAGCATCCTATGCATGCTGTGAAGCTCTTCTGTAATTTGTTATTTGACGGTCCATGCAAAAGGTCTCTCAATATACGGTCATGGTGACGGGCAAGAGAGGTACACAGTAGCTGCCTGCCATTGCTAGCTCAAGCAGGAACGAGCGGTCCACTCGACGTTGACGCAGCCAGAATAAATAAAATCCACTCTGGCACTGGCATGCTGAACTGGATAGCCTGAACCTGACCAACCACATTTAACGTGATCCACTCCTGGAGCTCTTCTTGTCTGGATCCAATTATTAGACAGTGGAACTGTGCGTCTTCTGCCTCCATGCATGGTCCAAGAATCCACTCTGTCTTGCAGAAGACTGGGGATTATGGGCACAATCAGTTCACAAAAGAATTCTTGCTTCTAATTTCCATGATGCCGTGAGCCCGTGACCTTGTCTGCTGTCCCGTATACCCGTACCCTGCCTGCCTCAAGTTCACTCCTCCTGGCTATCACCAGCTTAGGGTGCGTTTAAATGTAAAAAAATTTGGGTTGCGGATACTGTAGCACTTTCGTTTGTATTTAGCAATTAGTGTCTAATTATGGACTAATTAGGTTTAAAAGTTTCGTCTCGCGATTTCTCATCCAACTGTGCAATTAGTTTTTTTTATCTACATTTAGTACTCTATGCATGTGCCGCAAGATTCGATATGATAGATACTGCGCAAAAATTTTTGGAAACTAAACATGCCTTATTCATCAACGGTGGGCGCTCGCTCGCTATCGCGGAGACCACCAGCAGGCACCAGAGGAGGTCGGCGCACGCGGGCAAGCACAGGAACTGAGGTAATCGCGGAGACCCACAGATTCCAAGTCTTCCACAACTGTGTCGATCGATCCCAAGTCTCAGAAATGTCAACGCGTGTCGTCGTAGCAGCTGTTTACCTGTTCGCTGGTCGGTTTTACGTAAATTAGCACCAGTCAATCTAAACCAGTGCAGAAACCGATCAGCGAATATACCGACTAGCTGCTGGCGCCTAGCGGCGGCTGTACTGTCAATCGGAAAATGGGCGCCGTGGTCCGCTGAAAAGGAAGCAGGAAATGGACGCGTGCTGCGCAAGTTGCACGACGATGGCTGTGCCACTGGGGCCGCCAAGGGATGATTTTCCAAAAGCTGGAACCTTCTTGTTCCTGTTACGTGACAAACTGACAACATGTAGCCGTAGCCATCGATCGGGATCTTTTCCGGGCCGGGGTCCGTCCCCTTCGATCGACTGCACCGATTTTTCCTGATTATGATCAGTTTCTCACGACAATTTTGAATAATCTCGGAGTGAAACTCTGGCAGTCGGATGCTTTAGCAGTATTTTTCAACGAACGAAACATTGTTTTTTTCTCTCACAATAAATCATCATAAGGTAAATTTCAGCGAAGCGAGAATCTAGCATTGAAAGCGGGAAGAAACGTGCACTGTGCTGTGCTGCTGGACGATTGATCGACTCCGAAGCTATAGAATCTCCCATAGATGGCTCGTCGTTCACAGACGCAGCATCTGCTAACCAAGAGAAATAACTGAAGTCAACGAGGCATCAGCGTACGTGAAACTCGAGCGAAATGTCACTAGACAGCCGCTTTTGCACTAGTAGTACTATCAAACACAGGAAAGATGTGCCATTTATATATATAGAAATATTGTCAAAAAGAGGATGGCACCATATACATACATAGCTTAGCTAGCTCAAGAGCGAGGTTAACGTTGCACCGTCCATTGTGAGTGAGGCAGTGAAAGTTACCGTCTCGATCACTTTGTAACCAACCTAGGCCCAGCAGCTACGGAGCAGGCAATGAGCAGTTGACCGGCAAAGTCAATTGTTGCGCAATAAACTAGCCAGTGCCAGAGTCATTGGAGCGGAATGACCAGGGGAGATACACTGATTCCCCCGTATGGCTCACGGGTTTACTATTTTTAATGGATCTGTCTACGTGACATTCGGTTGTTATTTTTTTTCTCCTATCAACTGAATTTTTCTGATACACTTACACTATCTTCTACCTATATTTACATTAAATTATTACTATATTTACAATGACTTGTTCAGTGTAATTTAATGAACATAGTGGTGTAATTTGAGAATAACATAAATATATGCCAATTTTTCAGAAAAATTTATAAATTATTTCTATGGATTCCAGATATCAGAGAAATATATATCAAATTGTTCACAAATATAATCAAATTGTTCAAAATTATTCACAAATTTCAGAAAAAATACAAATATACATGTGGGCTAGGCGTACACGGTACATACTACGTGTATTCCGACTGGAGCTATACACGGGCATAGACGCGGGCGTACACGGACCAACCTCGGATGTAAGTGCGTGTATTCTGGACGACCGAGACATGGAACGCCGGAGCACGAGCATGTGGTGGGGACCGCAGCCCGTCTCGCGCGACCAACTGACGGAGCGCCGCGACCGTGCGATTCCTGATTTGACGGCCATAAAATCGCATGTCGCAGGGGGCTAAATCAACCGACTGACTTATAGCAATTCTGTTTTTAATCAATCAAAATTCCCACCTAGCTCACTTAGCAGCTGCTGGTAAAGGTCGTCGTGTGTGTGAGACGGAGAGGAGTCTGGTGGGAGGAGGATCTCTCAGATCCGGGGTAACCCGAATCCCGACGCAAAGATCCACCACCATCACGCGCCGTCGCCTGTAAAAGCCGCCCCCGGCAGCGCAGGCTTGCAGCAAGCATCATTCGTGACCCGATCGAGCCCCCACCAGCATCTCTGCCCTCTGGGAGCTCGAGCCTCCTAGTTCCCAGACCACCTTGCCCGTGCCCGGGCTTCTCCATCTGCTGAGATTCTGAGAAAGACAGGTGCGGGATGGCCTCCGTTCTGCCGGATACTGCGTCGGATGGCAAGGCCCTGACGGACGCCTGGGACTACAAGGGTCGCCCCGCCAGCCGCGCCACCACCGGCGGCTGGGCGTGCGCCGCCATGATCCTAGGTAACCTGCTGACCTTGCCTAAACCATTTGGCGCGCGTCCACGGCCGCGGCGCATGACTATTCCATAGCAGCCAGCACCCACCGCTTGTTCGTGCTGTGTACGTGCATCTGCATGTGCGCGTGTGTGTGGTCCTGTCCTGACAAGTGTTGATTTTCCTGATGAACTGAGAAGGCGCGGAGCTGTTCGAGCGGATGACGACGCTGGGCATCGCGGTGAACCTGGTGCCGTACATGACCGGCACGATGCACCTCGGCAATGCTTCCGCCGCCAACACCGTCACCAACTTCATCGGCGCCTCCTTCATGCTCTGCCTCCTCGGCGGCTTCGTCGCCGACACCTACCTCGGCCGCTACCTCACCATCGCCACCTTCACCGCCGTCCAGGCCACGGTGGGTTCGTTTAATTACTCGCCACGGTGCCACTCACTAGTTACAACAGCGTGACACCCTGGCTACTATAATTGGCTTCGATGTCTGCGCCGCAGGGCGTGATGATCCTGACGATCTCAACGGCGGCTCCCGATCTACGTCCACCGCCGTGCGCGGACGCGAAGGGCGCGAGCGCCGACTGCGTGCGGGCCAACGGGACGCAGCTCGGGGTGCTGTACCTGGGGCTGTACCTAACGGCGCTGGGCACGGGCGGGCTCAAGTCCAGCGTGTCGGGGTTCGGCTCCGACCAGTTCGACGAGTCCCACGCCGGCGAGCGGCGGAAGATGCTGCGCTTCTTCAACTGGTTCTACTTCTTCGTCAGCATCGGCGCGCTGCTGGCCGTCACGGCGCTGGTGTACGTGCAGGACAACGTGGGGCGCCGCTGGGGCTACGGCGTCTGCGCCGTCGGCATCCTCTGCGGGCTCGGCGTCTTCCTGCTGGGCACCAGGAGGTACCGCTTCAAGAGGCTGGTCGGGAGCCCGCTCACCCAGGTGGCTGCAGTGACGGTCGCCGCGTGGAGCAAGCGCAAGCTGGCGCTGCCGTCTGACCCGGACTTGCTCTACGACGTCGACCACGCGGCGGCCGACGTCGTCAAGGTGAAGGAGAAGCTGCCCCACAGCAAGGAATGCAGGTAACGTACAAGAATCACGGATGATGAGCAACTTTCCGTTCATTAGCTTTATTTACTTGGTGATCACTGCTGCGCTCCGTGCCTGGTACTACTGCAGCGTCACGGTATCCCATCCCATAGCATAGTACACTGGGACTGACAAAACTATACCCTGTTCGCTTGATCGTATCAGCCATGTTTATCAGATATAATATAATATTTTTTTCTCACAATAAAACAGTATCAGCCGACTTATAAGCCTCAGAAACGATCAAACAAAAACAGGTGTATACCACTAGTAGTAGCATTTTTGCGAAGGGATACATGGTTTATTAGCACTACTGTAGTAGTGACCGATGGATGGCTGGAGCCAGCAGGCTCAGCCGCTCAGGAGTGCGCTGGCTACACGTAAACGAAAGAGGAAGGACTACTGCTAGTAGTTAGGGGCAGTTTGGGATGGCTCCCAGGGCAGCTCCTGGAGCTGTTTTGCTGCTCTGGCAACCAAACGCATAGAAAGGGAACGGCTCCGACGAAGAATCCCCGGTTTTTGCGCTCTCACACGCGAGTGCCGTCGGTTGAAGCCAGAAAATCGAGCTCCCACCGGCTCTCTCTGACAAAGCACGGGCCTAGACTCTTTTGCCCCGGCGCGGGTGGTCGAGGCCGCGCGGACGCGAGGGAGAGACGAAGCGCGGACGCGACGGCGAGGTGGAGTGGAGCGCGAGCACGAGCGCGACAGGCGAGGCGGAGTGCCTGTGCTCTGGTGAGGCCGCGCGCGTGGGCGCCGGCGAGGAGCGCGGACCGCGGGAGCTGCGAGCACGAGCGCAACGGGCGAGGCGGAGTGCATGCATGCGCGCCGGCGAGGAGCTCGAGTGCGTGCACGCCGGCGGAGCTAGCGGCGATGGGAAACCAGAGGATAAAGAAAGAAACGATGCGTTTCTATGGTTGGGAGAAAAGAAAAGAAGGGGAAAGAAAAGAAAAGAAAAGAAAAAAAAGAAAAACATAAGGGTATTATGGACCTTTTACTCTTTTGCCTATCTGAAGAAGCTGTTTTGTCAAACGGTCCACAAAAACGGATTCAACTCCCTAAGAGAAGCTGCTCCTTCATAAGAGCAATAACCGAAGCTGTTTTTAGAGGAGATGAAGTCCTACCAAACGGGCCCTTAGCAGCCCTCTAAAGAAGGGAGTATGCTGGGGGAGTTGAGCACTGGGCGAGGTAACGCCTCTGCCTCTCACACAGATGCATGCACCCCTCACCCCTGCACAATTGCTGCTGCTTCAGTGGCGCACAAGTGATTCTTGATCGGATTGTTACTTACTAATAATAATTAATTTGGCGTTGAAAATGATGTGCTCTCCACGTACAAGAATTGACTATACAGTGCTACACACAGACGACTTATTGTGAAACGGATGACGCAGGTTCCTCGACCACGCGGCCATCATCGACGGCGCCGGCGAGTCACCGGCGACGGCGAGCAAGTGGGCGCTGTGCACCCGGACGGACGTGGAGGAGGTGAAGCAGGTGGTGCGGATGCTGCCCATCTGGGCCACCACCATCATGTTCTGGACCATCCACGCGCAGATGACCACCTTCTCGGTGGCGCAGGCCGAGGTCATGGACCGGTCCATCGGCTCGGGGGGCTTCCTCATCCCCGCGGGCTCCCTCACCGTCTTCCTCATCGGCTCCATCCTCCTCACCGTGCCCGTCTACGACCGCCTCCTCGCGCCGTTCGCGCGCCGCCTCACGGGGAACCCGCACGGCCTCACCCCGCTGCAGCGCGTCTTCGTCGGCCTCCTCCTCTCCGTCGCCGGCATGGCCGTGGCGGCGCTCGTCGAGCGCCACCGCCGGACGGCCGCCTCCTCCGAGCACGGAGTCACGCTCACGGTGTTCCTGCTCATGCCGCAGTTCGTGCTCGTCGGCGCCGGCGAGGCCTTCACGTACATGGGCCAGCTCGCGTTCTTCCTGCGGGAGTGCCCCAAGGGCATGAAGACCATGAGCACGGGCCTGTTCCTCAGCACCTGCGCGCTCGGGTTCTTCTTCAGCACTCTGCTCGTCACCATCGTGCACAAGGTCACGGTCCACGGCGGCGGCCGCGGGGGTTGGCTCGCCGACAACCTCAACGACGGGAGGCTCGACTACTTCTACTGGCTGCTCGCCGTGATCAGCGCCATCAACCTCGTCCTCTTCACGTTCGCCGCCAGGGGCTACGTCTACAAGGAGAAGCGCCTGGCCGACGCCGGCATCGAGCTCGCCGACGAGGAGTCTATTGCCGTCGGCCACTGATAGATGGTGCTATCACAACCCTGCCAGCATGCATGCATCTTTCTTTTTCTTCCTTTATTTATGTTTTGAGATGATTTGTTTTGGCGTGAACTCGGTGGGGGTACGCGTGATGTATTTTGGCACGCAGGTGGAGCTAATTAACGTGTACGTAAAGGGTAAAAGAAATGTAGATAGAAATATACGGCTTAATAAGTGCCAAATAGTGATGCACGCTGTATTTTGCTTCTTGAAATGAAATGGCAGCTAGCGTTGCTGCGCTTGTTTAATACTCGTAATACGGGTAAGTTATTGACGCAAGTATTCATGTGGATCGGACACATGTCCAAGTGAACAAGGTTTGTGTGCGTGCCAAGTATTCAAAGGCTAAAACATGTTTCCACTGAACCATTTTCCTTTGGGACCTGCTATATTTGATATTTCATCAGGTGCCTGAAATTTTGCTAATCAGGCAATGATTCTCATTCATTAGATCTAAATCAGATGGCTTTGAAGCTTCTTTCTCCTTGATTTCTTTCATTCTGCTGTCAGGTGCCTTTGGTTCTGCTTTTTCAGACACCTGCATTCAGTGGCGAAGCGAGAGTAAACTAGAGAGAGGTGCGCTCACCTTGTAGATTCGTGAACTTGATCCGCAACCATGGTGGAAATTTAATACTATTCTGATTTGCACCCACAACAGAGTACCTAGCTTCGCCACTGCCTGCACTTTAGGAAAGGTGTTTTCCTTTCGTCCAATGAACAATATAATTAAGATTGAAAACGGACAGGTTAAACCCCGACTCGTCCCATCTTGTTTTCCATATTTAAGCCGTCCGTTTCTGTATTTTCGAAAAAAAAAATCCGAAAACAGGACGGGACAAGGATCGGAGCTTGGCGCGAGCAGGACAGAAACGGGAGAACCTTCGTCCCGCCAGTTTTCTCGGATTTCCGTATTTGGCCGGAAACATCCCGTATTTCTCAATTCCGAGATGAACCCAATAAACCATACCTCTATGGCCCAATAGCTTAAAGGCCCACCTCGGCAGCCCATGTAAAAAGACGTTACCCTTCTCCTGTTGGGTCTTCTGGCTCCCAGCCCCACGTTCCATTTCAGCGATCGTTCAGCCAATTCCAGGAAAAAAGCCATAAGCTTTCCAGTGTTAGATTGATCTCCTAACCAATAAGCCCAACGGTCTATTGGGCCTTGGTCACGCGCCTTGATCGGGGACGCCCAACCCTACATGGTTGGTGGGCCCCGTCGCCTCAAGCTTATATATAAAGAGGTGGGGCGGCTCAAAGCACGAGGTTCGCCGTGAGCCGCAAAACCCACCGACAAACCCTAGACCGATCTAAGAGGCGCGCAGACCCGGACACGGAAGCTCACGATCCTCGCCGTCCATCATCACGCTACGCCCGACCGCCTTTGCATCGACGTCCACAAGCAACCTCTACTCCACCCGTGTTTGCCGCCTGTCTTTGCCCATCACCGAACCAAATGATGGCCAAAGACAATCATGCGACTTCATCTGAAGGCTCGGGTTCATCACCGACCCCTCTCTACCCTATCTCCCTCTCGGTGTAGTGTTCTAGGTCTAAATGTGCATGTGCTTCACTGGTCTAAGTATTCATCCGTCTAGATCTACCCTAGTCGATCCACAGTTTATAACAATGGTATCAAAGCCTTTTTCTAGCGGTAGATCTGGATCGGGGAAAGAAAAAAATCGAACCCTAATCCTCAATCGGGTACGGGAAAAGTGAGAACTGTTTGAGACATGGTCTCGACATCCTAACCCGCTCGGTGATTGACTGAGAAGGGAAAAGGACCGATTTCAAATCGGGGGGGAAGAAGAAAACAGTTTCATCCCCAAACCTAACCCTAACCCTAATCGGGAAATCGTGCAAAATCCGAATCAAAGAAACCGGAAAGGATCCCGATCTCGGATCGGATCGAAAGAACCCTAACCCTAGAAATGAAACCCTAACCCTAGATTGGGTTTTGGGAAGGAAAAGATGAAGAGGGAACCTACCCGTCATCCCGACACACGCCGTCACATGAAAGCCACCACCGTCTTGGCGGTGATCACCGCCGCCATGGTTGGCGAAGGACGAGGCCCGGCTTCGCCGTGGCTCAGATACAATGATCCAAAGCCGCTCGACGGCGCGCTTTCGCCATGGGCGAAGCGCGCGCGCGCGCACGAGCTTGGGCTTGGCAGCACGATGTCGTCCTCACTTCTTCTCCGGTGGACGAGGTGGCGCGCGCTCCCTTCGTCTTCGCTACCGTCGCGCCGTGGGAGAGGAGAGAGAGAAAGAGAATGGTCTAGGGTTTTCGGGGAGGCGCGGCGGCCGTTTTTTGATGCCCCGAGTCGTCGCTCCACCGCTCGATCGAGACGGACGACCCACGACGATCAAGGCAGCCTGCAGCCCAAAGGGAAAGGGCGTGAGGTCAATTCCTACCCAGCCCCAAGTTGCGGCTCGGGCGCGAAATCTTGTTGGCAGCAGCAGCTGGTGAAAGCAAGCCGTAATGCATGACGTGTCTTTAGGCAATGCGAAATGGCCTAATGAATAGAAATAGCTCAAAGTTTTTCTTTTATTTTTCCAGAAATATATATTTTGATGAATTTCAATTGGAAGTTGATGCAAATCTTTGTGCAATTTTTGTCCAACGACAATTTTGTTCAGAGAACAGTGCAATATTTAAGAGTTTCTGGAAAAATAATTATGGGCATATTTAAATTTTCCGCTGCGTATTTAAAGTAATTATGGACTTTTAATTAAATTCGAACCAACGGGAGAATTTGATTTTAAGAGCCAAGAGATAAATATGAGATGATTATGATATTGTTATTTTCTGACCAACGTTGTTAATAGCAATATTATAATTTTAATGATTATGCATTATTTCTATTTCTGCCCAACGGTGATGTAGATTTAATGTATAAAACAATTGTATGTTTTAATTTTGACCAACGTTAAACTAAGGCATGCAATTATTGTTGTTATTTCTGTTCTCACACTATTTGAATTGTGTTTTCAGGAGGATACAACTTAATGAGTTGTATCAAAGAGATCCCCACTCTAAAAGGTGATAACTATAATGAGTGGAAGAAAAAGATAGACCTGGCCTTCATCCTCGCTGAGGTGGACTGGGTTGTCACCACACCGTGCCCCAGAGAACCTGTGGCACCGGTGAGGGAGACTGATGAGACTGATGCTGCATGGCAGAATAGAGAGCGGGATTTTGCTCCCGTAAAGATGTCCTATGACCTTGAGCATAGGAAATGGGTCACTGCCAACAAGAAGTGTTTGGCAGTGATAAAGAACACGATTGAGCCTGCTATTGTGGGCTCAATTCCAGACTGTGACACGGTCACAGAGTACCTAGAAAGAATAAAGAGTCAGTTCACTGGCTCTTCAAAGACATATGCAACCCAGCTGATCAAGCAGCTGGTTACAGAAAGGTACTCTGGTGGCGGCAGTGGCATTAGAGAGCACATACTGAGAATGAGCAATCTGGCATCTAAGCTCAAACCAATGGATTTGGCACTCAAGGATGAGTTTCTTATTCATTTGATTTTTGCTTCTTTGCCCAAAGAATTTGACACCTTTGTTGTTAATTACAACATACAGCCTGAAAAATGGGATTTAGAAAAGCTCATAGCCATGTGTGTGCAGGAGGAGGAAAGAATAAAAGTTTCACAAGGTGGTTCTGTCAACTACCTAAAAGATAAGAAAAAGAACTATTATAACAGCTCTTCCTCCAAGTCATCTGGAAAAGGTCCCATGCAACAGTCTCAGAACCAGCAATTCCCAGTGGCTAAAGACCAGTGTCTCCACTGCAAGAAGACGGGACATTATAAAAAGAACTGTCCCGATTTCCTAAAGATGATAATGAAGAATAAAGGTGAGAACATTATTACGTTCGTAAATGAATCCTTGTATGTAAAGTTTTCAAAATCTACTTGGTGGATTGATTCAGGTGCAACTATTCATGTTGCTAATTCATTACAGGGATTCCGTTCGATGAGAACTTTGCAAAGAAGCGAAAGTTTCATTAAAGTCGCAAATGGAGTACAAGCAGAGGTTGAGGCCGTTGGAGATCTTCCTCTAGAGCTTCCAGATGGCTTTATACTTTTTCTTAGAGATGTTCTTTATGTACCTTCTTTGCAAAGAAACCTGATTAGTATATCAAAGTTGGACCATGATGGTTATGATTGCCATTTTGGAAATGGCAAATGTCAGATATTGTTTAATAATAAATGTGTTGGTCTTACCTTCCGACAAGACGAGCTTTATTTATTATCACTTCGTGAAAATGTGAATTCCGTATGTGATGTGAATGAAAATGTATCCTCATCGAACAATGGAAACAGAAAACGAAAGAGAGCTCACGATGCGTTGTCGAAATTATGGCACTGTCGTTTAGGCCATATTTCAAGGGGGAGAATAGAAAGACTAGTTAAGAATAATATTCTTCCTTCATTAGAGCTCTCAGAGTTAGAACAATGTAGAGATTGCATAAAAGGAAAGTATGTAAAGAAAATTAAGAAGGATGCCAAACGGCGCGCAGAATTCTCTGATTATTCACACGTACATATGTGGTCCTTTTCCCTGTGAAAAGTGTGGATGGTTATGATTCATTCATAACATTCACAGATTTATTACTCTCGGTTTGGCTATATTTATCCAATTAAAGAAAGAAACGAGCGTTGGATAAATTCAAAATATTTAAAGCGGTTGAAAATCAAGCATGATTTAAAGATTAAGATAGTCGAGTCCGACCGTGGAGGAGAGTACTACGGTCGGCATACCCCATATGGACAAGTTCTGGACCTTTACGCAAGGTTCTTATAGGAGAATGGTATAGTCGCCCAATTATTCAACACCGGGCGAACCTCAGTGAGAATGGAGTAGTGAAAGGCGTAACAGTACCTCGATGGATATGGTGCGTGGTATGATAAGTTACTCCACTTTACCGATGAGTCTGTGGATGGAGGCGTTAAAACCGCCATTCATATTCTCAATAG